TGCTATTCAATCTATAACAGTGAAAAAAGTGTTTTTTGTTTTTAAATCCAAGCTTTGTGTCACCAGACCCAAGTGGTGGCACTGGTCACCGTATCCACTGTTAGCGTAACACACCCGCTTTAAGGACACTGACTGCTATTCAATCTATAACAGTGAAAAAAGTGTTTGTTTGTTTTTAAATACAAGCTTTGTGTCACCAGATCTAAGTGGTGCACTGGTCACCGTATCCACTGTTAGCGTAACACACCCGCTTTAAGGACACTGACTGCTATTCAATCTATAACAGTGAAAAAAGTGTTTTGTTTTTAAATCCAAGCTTTGTGTCACCAGATCTAAGTGGTGGCTCTGGTCACCGTATCCACTGTTAGCGTAACACACCTGCTTGAAGATAACTAACTGCTATTCAATCTATAACAGTGAAAAAAGTTTTTTGTTTTTAAATCCAAGCTTTGTGTCACCAGATATAAGTGGTGGCACTGGTCACCGTATTCACTGTTAGTGTAACACACCCGCTTTAAGGACACTGACTGCTATTCAATCTATAACAGAGAAAAAAAGTGTTTTGTTTTTAAATCCAAGCTTTGTGTCACCAGATCTAAGTGGTGGCACTGGTCACCGTATCCACTGTTAGCGTAACACACCTGCTTGAAGATAACTAACTGCTATTCAATCTATAACAGTGAAAAAAGTTTTTTGTTTTTAAAATCCAAGCTATTGTGACACCAGATCTAAGTGGTGGCACTGGTCACCGTATCCACTGTTAGCGTAACACACCCGCTTTAAGGACACTGACTGCTATTCAATCTATAACAGTGAAAAAAGTGGGGTTTTTTAAAATCCAAGCTATTGTGACACCAGATCTAAGTGGTGGCACTGGTCACCGTATCCACTGTTAGCGTAACACACCCGCTTTAAGGACACTGACTGCTATTCAATCTATAACAGTGAAAAAAGTTTTTTGTTTTTAAATCCAAGCTATTGTGACACCAGATGTAATTGGTGGCACTGACTGGGGAAATGGGCACAGTATGCACTGTGAGCCTGACATAGAAGCTGGCAGCAGTGGCAGACAACTGACTGCTATTCAATCTATAACAGTGAAAAAAGTTTTTTGTTTTTAAATCCAAGCCATTGTGACACCAGATGTAAGTGGTGGCACTGACTGGGGAAATGGGCACAGTATGCACTGTGAGCCTGACACAGAAGCTGGCAGCAGTGGCAGACAACTAAGTGCAATTACATTACATAGAAAAAAAAATAAAAAAAAAGCATACCCTAACCCTAACCTAGCTATGCTTTTCCCTATCTTATGAACAGCAGCTACACTTTCCCTCCTCTTACTAAGCATGCAGCTTGAGAATGAATCTAAAATGGATGCCTTCCAGGAGGTGGGAGGGTCTGCTAGGGAGGGTGTGCTGCTAATTGGCTGGAATGTGTCTGCTGACTGTGAGGTACAGGGTCAAAGTTTACTCAATGATGACGAATAGGGGGCGGGTCGAACCGCGCATATGTTCGCCCGCCGTGGCGAACGCGAACATGCTATGTTCGCCAGGAACCGTTCGCTGGCGAACCGTTCAGTACATCACTACACCCAAGTAGTTGTTTAGTAGATAAGGGAGTGCGCTGGATTTTCATTTTTGCTGTACTTATTGGCCCCGAGCAGGTTCAGGTGAGTGCAGCCAGCCCCTTGTTTTCCCATATATATATATACGATACCAGTAGAGAGCACTCAGGAGTCTTTCAAGGTAAATTTAATCTGTTGTGAAAAAAACAGGTTTATAGAGAGCGCAAAAAAAGAATATATATATCAATAAAATAGTGGATTTTCTAAGCAGGTGCTTCGGTATCTTGAGAAAGCTCATTTGAATGAGTGAAACGCGTAGATCGTGTTTCTGGCGGGATTTTTGAATTTGGAGAGATTGCAGTAAGATTGGCTAGTTGGCTTCTCAGTGAGGATCGATCTGAGTGCACAGGACCGGTCTGGAAATAACATCCACGTAACTTTATATTCATCAGCCAATATTCTGCATTTCTACGTTTTTATTGTGAACCTTAGAAATAAGTTTCACCACTTTTAATTGTAAGAGTTCCTCTTATGGGGGGATTACCGTATGGGAAATAAAGTATTGTAACTGTATCACGCCATGTCAGTATCTTTTTGATTTAAGGTTGGATACATATAAAGACAAAGTCTTTTTACACCAATTACTGTTACAACTATCAAATCCCTGCGGACATTTGAAAACACCCCATGAAGATTGAAACTGGGACTCTTTATTTAATTTATTCAATATATTTTTGTTGTTGACCCATATACAAAAAATAGGGGTATATTAACTAAGCGCTGATACTGTTTTTATTTCAATTTATGTCACACAAATTTAATCTGTTGCTTTATTGAGCAATTACAAATTCACACAACGTTCCAGTCGACGTTTCAGTCTGTAAAATACTTTTTTCAGTCTTTTACAGACTGAAACGTCGACTGGAACGTTGTGTGAATTTGTAATTGCTCAATAAAGCAACAGATGAAATTTACTTTGAAAGACTCCTGAGTGATCTCTACTGGTATCATATACAATTTGGTTGGAGACAGCACCGGAGCATTAAAAGACCGGGAGCATTGAGTGCTGGGACCTGGGACATATATATATATATATATATATATATATATATATATATATTTTATATATATTATTGTAAAAATAAATAATAATAAAAAATAAATTAAAAAATGTAAAAATAACAAAATAAACTATATAATTTTATTCTAACTATATTTTGATATTAATCTATATATATATAGAAAAGCAGGCTGGGCCAAGCAATACCTGTACCTCAGGCTGAAAAATTATGTGGTCAGTGCAATTTCACCAGGGCTCCAGTATTCAATTTTCGTGTAGGCTGAGGCTGCACCTCGGCCTCTATTTCTTTTATTCCAAATTTTTTAAAGCAGGATCAATGTTTCAGTCCTCCTCAAGGACTCTTCACTCAGCATCATCAGTTGATCCTGCTTTTAAAGAATTTGGAATAAAAGTACATTTTTATTTAAAACCTAGAGTGCAGCCATCTACTTCTTGCAATTTATATATATATATATATATATATATATATATATATATACATATATATAATAAAATACACTTAGAATGAAATTATATATTATATATATATATATATATATATATATATATATAAAAATAAATAAAAATAATACAAAAAATAAATAAATAAGAAATACATATATATACATAAATAATTTCATAAATATACACATGGACTTCAAATATATAAATATGTATATATATAATAATTCTACATATATATTAATGTAATAATTTTACATAATTAGGTCATTTTATTAATTACAATTTGCGGGACTTGCCTGACAACCCAGGCAGAAAGTCCAGGGAATTTAATTGGCTAACACTGTATTTAACCCTGTAACTTTCCAAGACACCATAAAACCTGTACATGGGGGCTGCTGTTTTACTCGGTAGACTTCAAAACAGTAAAACATATCACAGCAATGATGTTGTCAGTAAAAGTGTCTTTCTTTGCATTTTTCACACACAAACGGCACTTTCACTGATGATATCATTGTTGTGATACGTTTTACTGTTTTGAAACAATAATATTTGTGTTCAGCGAAGTCTCCTAGTCTCCTATGCTAGTAACCCTCATGTACAGGTTTTATAGTGTTTTTGGAAGCTAAAGGGTCAAATGTAAGGCTTGATTTTCCGTTTTTTCACATTCAAATTTGCCATTTTGGTTATGTTGCCTTTGAGAGCACATGGTAGCCCACAAATGAGAATTGCCCCCATGATGGCATACCATTTGCAAAAGAAGACAACCCAAGGTATTGCAAATGGGGTATGTCCAGTCTTTTTTAGTAGCCACTTAGTCACAAACACTGGCCAGCGTTCATAATTGTTTTTTTGCATTTTTAACACACAAACAAATATAAATGCTAATTTTGGCTAGTGTTTCTGACTAAGTGGCTATTAACAAAGACTGGACATACCCCATATTGAATTCCCTGGGTTGTCTACCTTAAAAAAATATGTACATGTGAAAGGTGATTCAGAGATGTATGACAGATAACAGTGTTACAATGTCACTATGTCATTGGGTATTTCTAAACTCAGGGCAAAAAAAGTACATACTTCACATGAACAGAGCCTTTTAACGTGCATTGGGCAAAGTATATTGCAGGGCCCATAGTCCTGAGGCAAGAGGCTGGCCAGCAGGCCCCTCCAAGAACCCTTGACGAGGTTCAGTTTGTCACAGGGCCATAATCACAGGGTAGGATGCTGGCAAACAGGCCCCTCCAAATGCAAGAGACGAGGTTACTTTCGTCACAGTAATAAAATTGAAAAACGGTCCGGTCACAAAGAGGTTAATGCATTTAATAGTGTGAGCTCAATATTGCTCCTTACTTGACTCAGTCTTGTTTAGGACTTTCCATTTTATGCCTGCATGAACTTTTGAACTGTTCCAAGAAAAAACCAAGCTTTGTGCATTCCATGGAGGTGTTCTTGAGGATGGACTATCAGTGAGGTTATGGTAGAAGTATGGAATACAAATAGGTTAGCTGAATTGTGCTAGCTTTACCTGGATAGACATGTAAATTCCTAGATTCAAGAACAAGACAAGGAGCTGTATACGGACTCGCAGATCTACCTTCGGATTGTACCCAGGGCCGGCGCCACCTATAGGCGAAGAAGGCGCCGGCCTAGGGCGCACATTTGGAAGGGGCACCATGGCCGCCTGTTTGCACCGCTGCGTTTCTACATGTGCCGCAGCAATGGCAAGCCGCACGCGGCACAAAGGAGAGAGGTGAGCGCGTGCATTGCTCTGAAAAGCCAGAAATCTAATTGCAGCGCGTCGGGCGGCTGCATATTAAACTTTGGCCAGCAGAGTAACTTAAAAAAAGAGAGAAACAAAAATACAAATAATGGTACAGTATGTATGAACGATATAATTCCACAAGAACAAAGGTGTTATATACACACTCACACTTTGAGGAGCTATATCAGCTCGGTGTTAAGAGCCTGGACGGAATAATCCCCGTCTATGGATTTCTTGAGGTTCAAGACCGTTGGTGAATTTATAGTTGTAAATATTCGTTACATGAAAAACAAAAGTAAAATACACCACATGGTATAGTACGTAAATATAAAATATTGTGAAAAAAAAAAAGTGGATGATCCTACTTACATATACTAGAGCAACGACCTGCTCTAGTTTGGAGAATTTCAGGTGGAATAATCCCCACCTTGGGATATAGTGGACCCAGGTATAGCAGCAAAGCAGTATTGGATAGGAAGGAGGACAAAAGGAATGGCTGGATAGTTAAAAAATATATATACTTTAATACAATAAGTGAAAAGTGAATAATAAACTATAAAACCAGTCCTGTATAAAAGTCCAAAATTCTTGTGAGGAAGAATTTTGGACTTTTATACAGGACTGGTTTTATAGTTTATTATTCACTTTTCACT